AGGTGTCATCTTACCTTGACCTCATTTTCATGGTTCAGTGGTCAAAGTTAATTTTTTGAGTTTTGGTCTTTTTTTCTAATACTATATGCAATAGTTCAACTATATTTGGTGTATGGAAATATTTTATGATCTATATGTCAGTTACGCAGGTTTTATTTGACCTTGACCTCATTTTCAAGGTTCATTGCTCAGTGTTAAGTTTTTGTGTTTTCGTCTGTTTTTCTTAAACTATAAGCAATAGGTCAACTATATTTGTTGTATGGAAGAATTGTTAGCTGTACATGCCTGCCTAGCATGGTTCATCTGACCTTGACCTCATTTTCATGGTTCATTGGTCAATGTTTAGTTTTCTTGGTTAATGTTAAGTTTATGTGACAGTTGTAATAAAGCTTTATATTTAGGACTATCAACATAATATCAATGATTAGTAAAGAAGGCGAGACATTTCAGCGTGTGCACTCTTGTTATAGTTACTAACAGTAACAAGTACGAAATAGTATACATACAAACCTTCCATGAGGTACGAAATGGTGAACATACAAACCTTCCATGAGGTACGAAATTGTATATATATATATAAATCTTCCACGAGGTACGAAATAGCACATCAATGAAACACATATAAATCTTCCATGAGGTACGAAATTACATGTATGTACGAAATGGTTAGGGTACGAAATGACTAAAATTCGACGCCGATATAACACACGGATCGATAACGATCTCCAAATCTGGATATTTTCTCAAAAATTAGCGTTTTCTGTGGAAAAAAGATTGCATGTTTTAAAGACAAATTCAGGAACTCAGAAGTACAAATTACTGACTACATTTATACGTCATATCAAAAATATTTCCGACTTTGTATGGTTTTAGAGGAGTTGCGGCGCAATAAAATCTGTCTCTTCTTTCAGTAGTATAGATACATATCTTTTATTATTGTAAGCAAGCATTTGCAACAACTATAACTATTTGACATTTCTAACATTTCCTATTGAAGATTAAAACAACAAACGTTTTGTATTTGTTTAACGTGAAACAGAACTTACTAGAGCAAGAGAAGCCCACTCATTGCGCCTGGTTGCAATCATGTTTCTAATAAAATTCAGTATTTTGATGTTGAAGTCAAAGGTCAAGCTCACACGAAGGTCGGTTGATATGCGTCACATCGTTTTAAGGTGATACACGTTCATATCTTGCGTATTCAAATATTTGATCCGAAAATATACTAGATTAGAACATCCATGAAAATAACGTATTTGTATTACGAATTTTCCTTGAAAAGGTTAAGCACTCTCTTGAAAAAGCTTTGAAAATTTGTCCCGCCGTTTCATACACATTTCTGCCTTGCATATTGATAGGCTTTCGCACAACGAAAAGTACAAGAATTTACAACGAACGGTACTTAAGAAAGCAAACAAAAACCAATGAGAATATATCGTACAGTGCCCAAATTTTGAGTTCAGTTTTTCAATTAAATGTCTGCAAATAAAATAAAACAACGGGTTTCTCATTCGCATTATGTATTTTAAACAACAACAAATCACAAAATACACGGTCGCATTTAGTGTAAGAGCCAACCAATTATGCTTTATTCGTAGTTGAATCAAGTTTGAGTTACACATAATGGTTGTTTCGCGATGATTACAAGTAATTCACAGACCTGTCTATTTAAAATATTCACAGGGTGTTCATGTAATATAAAAAATAAACAATGCTGTCAGGAACAAAACTTTGTTTTCATAAACATTGAATACTTAACTGAACAGTACTGTACGTTAATTAGTCTTTAGGTAAATTCAAAACTGAATTAAAAAATCTTAAACTGAATTCAAAAGCCCAAGTACCCAAACATTATAAATTTGGCAATCGTAAACTCAACATCATTTTGACTCAACTTAGATGCTCAGCCTCGTTTTTGAATTATGATCTTAACAGAGTTAATATAATTTCAGATCTGTCTTGTAGCTGTGGTGCTAAGCGTGAAGATTCATTTCACTTCTTTTTTGAATGTCCTAATTATACGAATATAAGAATCAAACTATCTAATGATCTGAACTGGTTACCAGAGAACTCTCTATTAAATTGAACATCTTAACCTCCGGTGATTCGTCATTAACTAATGATGAAAATGAAAGAATTTTAAAGAATGTTTATGAGTTTATTAAAGAGTCAAAGAGGTTTCTAATTGTGTAATACAGCACACTAAAGTGCATATACATGTATATTGTGTACAACCATTCACATCATCACACATCATCTTTTGCATATCCAATATATACAATGTATTGTTTGCATGCATGCTTTGTAAAAAATTCTATTGTTATAAATTGTTCATGGGAGAAGACTTCATAAGTTTGATTAACTTGTGTCTCATCCCTTTTGCATATTTAAGCAAATAAAATATGTTTAAACTAAATTAGTCTTTGGTGAAAATATTAGGCTAATAGGACTCACAAAGTATGTATATATAATCAGTCCTTCTGACTTCATACATTTTGTCAGAGAATCGGCTGAATTAAGACTTTATATGATGAAAATTAATTAATTTCCTTCTGTGAAAATGCATTACATATACAACTTAAAGAATCGCCCTACAGTGAAAATGAAAGTCAAGTATCATTATTCGACAGTAAACATGAATCGCATAACGAAAACAGCCATAGTGGAATTTAAATCAATATCAACAAACTAAGTAATAAAACCTGTTTTAAGTTATACAACATTAATAATAATGATAAAAGGTACACTTTTTTTTGCAAATGTAACTTAACTGCTGCTTTTAAATCTCTTGCACGCTCTGTTCGTGAACCATTCTTAATATTTATCTATTTGTATATCAATTTTACACCTGGATGGATGTAGGCGCGATGAAAACTCATTCGCATCTCTTACCTACAATGTATATCATGAATTTATAAAAACAGTACATATTATTTATAATTTCGTATTTTATTCAAAAATCATGAATTTGTCGTCTGTTTATTTATCATTCTACATCAGAAATTCATAGCTAATACAGTGAAAATGGTATTTCTGGATTCGCACATTACATACACTGATACTTGCGAGACATTTACGGTACTGCAATATGTTAATACCTAAATTTCTTCTTTGACTGTTAACGACGTCTTTCCCTATATATCCATTGGATGTTGGCTGTGTATTGATGGATATGTAAGTCTTAGATACAAGACATTGATTTATTTAGTTGTTTCTGACTTCGAAACAGCTACCAGTAACTGCGAGTACTCTCTGATCTCAGTTGGGTCTTTTTAGTTGTGAGGGATCATGTATAAATACACTGCCACATCGGTTGTATGTTTTTGTTAGATGTTTTTTTCACTGCTTTTTATCGAACTGATGAGTTAAGCAATTAAATTTCGAATGACTTTAACCAGATTTTTTTTTATTAATTTGGTGATGTACGGCTGGCGGGCGGACGGCCGGCTGCCAAACAGTGTCCGTGCATCAAGTGATACTTATAGCGATGTCCGTGAAATAACTTAAAAACAATTTGACGAAACCTTTTCAAATTTATCATGACATGTTGTTTTCTGTGACTTAATGAAGGTCAGGTTGATTTTAAAAAGTGACCTTAGCTTATATCATTGATGACTTGTAGACCTTTTAGTAGCGAGTGAGCGCTTTGTCGTGCAATTACTTGAATAAACTTTAAATGAGGTACAAATGTTTATGATTGTCACAGTCAATAAGACAACTATCCGCCATGGTTCATATGAATATGATGAAGTGGATGTAAGCAATTATTTCCACTAACCCGAAAATCAGTAAAAAAATATCTCAGCTTTTCCAATATTCTATGGATAGTTCATGCTTGAGATGATGTTCTATACAATGTATATTTTTATTTACCAACAAGGGTTCATGATAACTAATGAATTCATTACTTCACAATTAAAGACTTCTGCTGTATGATTTAACAAAAACATTTAGAAAAATCATATCAGCAGATCAATTAAATAATGAAAATAGTAATTACGATTTTCAATATAACTTATAATTGAAACACAATTATGCTGAAAAATATTGGGTACGAGTTAATCCAAGTTGGTAAAAGTACGAACCGATAAAAAGAGTACGAGTTGAATGAGTACGAGTTGTCAGTGTCGGAATGACCTTTACTGGCTATACAGCCCTCGCACGGTCGGTACTGGGGACATATGATTGGAACCCCCCTTTTAACCTGGGTTGGGAGCCCCCCCCCCCCCCCCCCTTTCCCTTTTTTTTGAAAATGGCTGGATCCGCCCCTTTGTGATGTACCCAGCAATTATAGACAGCCGGGTATATATATATATATATATATATATATATATATATGCGGTATACCATCTTTTCCGCAAGTTTATTGTTTTCTGTTTGGTATTAAATTAATATAATTAAGATCCATTGTGTTACATCTGTGATCCGTTTATTTGGCAATCGCCATGGCAGTCAGCAGGGTTTAAGAACATCCGTTGTTCGAACTGCTAGTCAAATGCGTTTTGTTAAAATATACTTTTTCACTTTTTTGGTCTTTTGGAAAATGTTGTTTGTGCTGTATTTAGACCCCTCTACAAAGAAATTTGTTTTGCATGCACACGTATAAAAATTGCGGTTTTTATCCAACGCAATCATAGGTTTGAACGTTGTTTTCAATTTAGACTTGTTTATATATATGTATATATAATATATATATATATGATGTATATCAGGGATATGTATGTAGTACAAATACATATATGTCTCCATATATATATATATATTTAACAGAAGAAAAGACATTTGCGGGAAAGATAAGACTTTAACAGTAATTGGTCCGAGATGGATTAGGACCGAGTTGTCGTATACCCACAATCACATCTAAATTAAAGTACAACCTTTTTCGTAAATAGTCTAGTTTGTTCGTTTGTTTAAAAAACAACGTTTGTTTTATATATTTTTTTAAACATCGCTGAATTCAAATGTCAATAAAAATTAATATTTTACTTTCGTTTTCACAGGTCTTGACAGTTGACTTCAAGGAAACAAAACAAAATGGACGAGATGGAGGTAGATTCCCAGATACAACCGCAAGGTGATCCTACTGACCAGTCAGAACCTCTGCCAGGATATTCACAAATCCGTAATGTGGCTGGAGGATATGTATTCGAGGTTTCAGATATCGATAAACTCAAAAGATTTCTATGTCTTGGGACTGAATTGGGGTATTACAAAGCTAATTCAATACACAGAAAGTTTTCCAGATCAGAAGTTCAAGCAATAGACAGGTATATATATCATTAATAAAATTATCAGCAAGAGACATCAGTGTTGAAATAATAAGCTGATCGGTTTAAGTTTATTAGTCTTTTATTTCTACTTATTTTATATTGTATTTAATTTTACGATTAACTCCCTTTTCATAGCTGGTTCAGTTTTTAGGACTATTCCAAAAAATGAATCTATGACAACTCGCCCCACTCATAATCGCCCCACTTATGAAAAAAAAGGTAAAATACCGTTTGATATAGGTATGCCAACTCTCCCCACTTACATGACTCAGAGGCGGATTTAGAGGGTGTTTCAGGGGGCCCGGGCCCCCCCCCTTTTGTGGGAAAAATTTGGTTGATTATATAGGGAATCACTGAAGCATGACTGGAGCAGGCCCCCTCTTAGGCAGTCAATGGGCCCCCTCTTATGAAAATTTCTGGATCCGCCACTGTGACTTGTGAAAAATGTATTGGTAAATTCCCGCTGACATGGCTGCAGAAAGGTATGCCCAATTGCCCCACAAATACAATACAATATTTTTATTGTCAAACAAAGACTCAGTAGGAATGTAGGTGGGCAGTTATTTAATTTCAAACAATTTATGTTTAAAAGTCTTCCAACTCGCCCCACTAATCATGCTAATGAGTAACAGAATTAAACTGTTCTGAATTAAGGACTACCAACTCGCACCACATTTTCAGGTAAACAATTTCAATCTATTAACATGATTAACCTCTTTAAATAGAAAATGTAAAAACCTGGGCAAAAATGCAATCAAACAGGTAAAAATCTTCATTAAAGAGCAATTATTCCAATTAGAGGACAACTGACCATTTCTGATGGTGATTATTTTTATGCCCCCGCCATAGGGAAGGGCTGGGGCATTAAGTTTTACCCTTGTCTGTCTGTATATTCATACAGGGTACTTATGTCTGTCCCAAAGTTGGTTTCCGTTCTCTAACTTTAGTTTGCCTCAACCAAATGATTTGAAACTTATACACAATGCTTATTACCACAAAACACAGATCAAGTTTAAATTTTGGTGGCATCACTTTACAGTTCTAGAGTTATGCCCCTTTACAAATCGAAAAGTGTCCATTCTCTTACTTACGTTTGCCTCAACCAAATGTTATGGAACAATATACACAATGCTCATTACTACAAAATACAGATCAAGTTTGAATTTTGGTGGTGTCACTTTAACTGTTCTATAGTTTTGCTCCTTTTCCATGTTTTCAAATGGAAAAATTGCTGAATTTTTCGTTTCTGTTCTATACTTAAGTTTGTCTTCACCAAATGTTATGAAACTTATACACAATAACAACATGCTTATTACCACAAAATACAGATCAAGTTTGATTTTTGGTGGTGTCACTTTAGCTGTTCTAGAGTTAAACCCCTTTACCATGTTTACAAAAAGGAAAAATTGCTGAATTTTTGTTTTCCATTCTATAACTTATAAAGTTTACCTCAACCAAATTTTATGAAACTTATACACATTACTTATTACTTCAAAACTCAAATCAATTAGCTTCACTTTTACCTTTCTTTAGTTATGTCCCTTTATAAATTTATATGATACATGTATGCAAGCGGGGGCATCATCTGTGTCCCTCGGACACCTGGACACTTTCCCCATTTATTTAGAAAGTTCTTCTATTATAGAAATCATGATGATAGTCTAAAATGCAAAAAATTGATAAAAGTCATCATTTCAGTAAAATAACTCCTACAAGAAGTATTCTGATAGTCTTGATATATATTTATCCTAATACTCATAAAAAGTGAGAAATTCACACCATAATTTTTTTTTCAAGTAGTCCTTGAACCAGGATGATGAGGTCAAGGACAAAGGACTTCAAACATAAAATAGCTGCATTATCATACGGGATGAAACATCCGGGTCTTCTATCTTCTGAAATATAAAGCTTTATTCAAAAAGTTTACATCACTGCTGCCGCTGGATAGTATTCCCTTTGTCTCAAATCACAGGCGAGACAAACATATGTAAGATCTACCTTATGTTTAATATATTTTCTGTTTGGGTTTCCTTGCAACTTCTACATTTTAGTCAGACAGGATTCACCTGACCTCGACCTCTCATAACTTCATGGATCACTGATTACGGTTAAAGTTACATGATTATGTCTGTTTCTCAGATAAGTTTATAAGCACCAGGTGAACTATACATGTATGTGGTGTATGGAATTATTGTAAAGGGTACAACATGTCAGTCAGCTGGGTTTCATCTGACATTGACTTCATTTTTGTCGAGCCTTCGACTTAAGTCGAGAAAGCAAGACATAGCGATCCTACATTCCATCGGCACCGTCCACAAATATTCGCTCTGTGGTTAAAGTTTTTGAAATTTTAATAACTTTCTTAAACTATCCTGGATTTCTACCAAACTTGGACAGAAGCTTGTTTATGATCATAAGATAGTATCCAGAAGTAAATTTTGTAAAAATAAAATTCCATTTTTTCCGTATTTTACTTATAAATGGACTTAGTTTTTCTGCCGGGAAATATTACATTCACTCTGTGGTTAAAGTTTTTAAAATTTTAATAACTTTCTTAAACTATCCTGGGTTTGTACCAAACTTGGACAGAAGCTTGTTTATGATCATGAGATAGTATCTAGAAGTAAATTTTGTAAAAAAATAAATCCATTTTTTCCTTATTTTACTTTTAAATGGACTTAGATTTTCTGCCAGGAAACAACACATTCACTCTGTGGTTAATGTTTTTAAAATTTTAATAACTTTCTTATACTATTTTGGATTTGTACCAAACTTGAACAGAAGCTTGTTTATGATCAAAAGCTAGTATCTAGAAGGAAATTTTGTAAAAAAATAAATGCATTTTTTTCCATATTTTATACTTTTAAATGGACTTAGATTTTCTGCCAGGAAACAACATATTCACTCTGTGGTTAAAGTTTTTAAAATTTTAAAAACTTTCTTATACTATTTTGGATTTGTACCAAACTTGGACAGAAGCTTGTTTATGATCAAATGCTAGTATCTAGAAGGAAATTTTGTTTTCTTCCAGTTAACAATACATTCAGTCTGCAGTTAAAGTTTTTAAACATTTATTAGATTCATAAACTATCCTGGATTTTTACCAAACTTGGACAGAAGCTTCTTACAATCAAAAGATAGTATCAAGAGGAATACTTTTATTGATTTACTTCCTCATTTTTTGTTAAGCCTGCGATTAACAGAAAAAGTAGGCGAGACACTGGGTTCCGTGGAACCCTTACGAATTTTTATTTTTCATTTCTCAATCATGTCAATGTCTGTCTAGTCAGTATCATCTGAACTTTATCTCATTTTCATGGTTCATTATAGGATTAAACACATTTTTTCTAGAGGTTATTGATGTGTAAACTGGGGCGATTAACTCACAAACTGAATAAAAGTCAGAAGGACTTTTATGTTAAGTTTGTGAGTAAGAGCCCCGGTTTACACATCAATAACCTCTAGAAAAAATGTGTTTTATCTTTATAATTCTTCAGCAAATCATTTGTGATTTTTAATTATCATTTTTTGTTTAATGGCTTCTTTAATTACCATCAAAAGCAGAATGGCATGTCGTAACTAAGGAGTAAGCCGCCATCTTGACTTTCTAAAAAACATAAATGTCTGATAAATGAAACAAAATCTAAAACCTAATAGTACCTACCTCAAAAACTTCATTTTAATTAGATATTATCTGAATTTGAAGCGTACAAGTAACGAAATAATCTTTCGCTTGAAAGTTTTCATTCGTATGACGTTGTGTTTTGCCATGACGTAAATTCGCCAAATCATTCGTGAAATTTCCTGGAGTTTCATACGAATTTCAATTTTATACATTTTCAAAGCTTTAATGCAATATTTCTTTTATGTTATATATGAATTTGAATAGAAACAACTGATATGTATTTTTATTTTAAAAAATCCCATGATCCCTGCATGCATGTATATTGAGCATGAATATATCACAGTGAAGGTTACGAAAGTAGTTTCGGAAACATGGTGTATTGAAGTGTAAACCAACAGAAAAATTCTAATAGACCAATCCAATTCAAGTATTTATAGATACGCAAATCATATAAGAATTATTAGTCAATGATAAGTTTTGTGTTTTGGTCTGTTTTCAATATAATTACCATAAGCATCAGGTCAACTATATTTTGTGTTGGAATAATTGTAAGGTGTGCTGTGGGCCAGGTGATCTTAAAATGCATTGATGATTATTTGGTAGGGTTAAGATATTGATGAGATATGCTAGAAATGAGGCTTAATCATTTTTACTTATCCATCCATAGTATTGTAACCAATGATAATCTGTTTATCGCTATTTTCCCTATGCAAAGATGTCCTTATAGCCATATTTAATTGGCACATTTCCTTTGAAATGTTTGGTTTTCTAAGCTCTTCCATTTCACGATTGATTTTCATTTATAACTGTGTTGAATCTTGAGCTACTGATGGATCTTCAGTTAGAAGAAATGCTCGACTGGCGTATTGATTTGTAAGCCTTGTATAATCTTTGATGAGTTTTTCCATCGGTTTGAAATGTGCTAATTATTGACTTCTTAAAGCCTCTAGTTTGTTATTAAGCAAAAAATCAACCTCCTCTTTGTAGCTGTTGTTGCTTAAGCTTAGATAATACAGTTTTTATACGACCGCAAAATTGTATATTGGTACATGTATCACGTTGTGGCGTCGTCGTCCGAAGACATTTGGTTGCCGGACAATAACTTTAGTATTAGTAAATAGAAATCTATGAAATTGAAACATACGGTTTATAACCACAAAAGGAAGGTTGGGATTGATTTTGGGGGTTATGGTCCCAACAGTTTAGGAATTAGGGGCCAAAAAGGGGCCCAAATAAGCATTTTTCTAGTTTCATGACAATAACTTGTGGAACAGTGTATGGATCTCTCTGAAATTATACCACATTTCCATACCACAGACAAAGGGATGGTTAAGATTGGCTTTGGGGGTTATGGCTCAAACCATTTAGGAATTAGGGGCAAAAAAGTGAGAAAAAACAGGGGTGTCCTGGTTAATGGACAATTACTTAAGTACAAATTACAGTGTAAGGGAGGTAATTCAAGCACAACTTTGAATTACCTCCCTTACACTGCTTTAAACTAATGTATAAAGAATTTTTGTATTGTCTTGAGGTGATTAGCTGTCATTTCATTTTTAGAAGTTACTATTTTAATAATTTTAAAAATGCTGATTAAGGTAAATTAGTTTTAGCTATGATTATGTATGTCATTTTCTATTTTAAGACTTTTTTGATGTATTTAAATGGGTTATTATGGTTGCAAACTTAATTGGAAATTAGAATTGAAATTATGACCCTGACTGAGGGAAAGAATTTTTTTTTGGAAAAAGGGGGGGGGGGGGGGGGGAGGTTAAAAAAAATTGGGGTGGGGGGGACAATTTTTTCTCCTCAAGATTTCAGAAATCAAAAAGAAAATCCTTCAAATTTTTATTTTTTTTTAAAAAGGGGTGGGGGGGGGGTGGGGGGTAGGTCAATTTGCAACAGCATAGCGTATTGCACAAAAGCAAAAAATTGAATATAAATTCAAATCATATAACCAATTCTAAGTTCTTTGACTACAGTTATTCTGTGTCAGAAACCTATTATGTGTCAAATATTGAATTACAATCCCAATTCAGACCTGTATCAAGCGCGAATATTGTGTCCATTTTTGCCCCAACTGTTCAGGGTTGGACCTCTGCGGTCGTATCCAGCTATGCTCGGCAAAGCAATTTATTTGTTGTTTTTAATTGGAAAAGGGGGGATTGTTGAACATTTGCATTACACTCGTAAATATAAATAATAATCACATGGTTTGTTTTAAATAGTATTTTATTTTTTTACAAATGGTTTATTCTGATTCAGATTGATCCAACTTGGACGAGGTCGAGATGTCGTTAAATGTATCAAGGACGTAAGTGTTCTAAATAGAGCATGTAAACAGAACCCAACATTGTATGCATTAGCGGTATGTGCCAGATCAAATGACCTTAGTACAAAGCACGCTGCCTACAGTGTACTGAATGATGTTTGTCGTATACCTACTCATTTGTTTCAGTTCATAAAATATTGTGAAGAAATGAGCGGACATGAGTCTGGTTGGGGAAGAGCACATCGTAAAGCAATCAGTCAGTGGTATACTCATTTCAGTGAAGCAAATGGTAATGGACATAAAAACCCATTGAAGCTTGCTTATCTTGTAACCAAGTTCAGACGTCGATTCAAATGGAGCCACAAAGATGTCATACGACTAGCTCATGTACGATCGAGAAATAAAGCAATACGGATGACTTTGCAATACGCGCTTGGTAAAACTGTAGAAGATGCTGATTCTACCATGTCTACAGAAGCTTCTGAGGTAAGGAATTTTCTCATGGCAGTACATAATGCAAAACATTGCCACCTGGAGAAAGATGAAGACAAGTTATGTGAATATATCGTTCTTCATAAACTGAGCTGGGAGCATGTTCCAAACCAGTTTCTTAAATATAGTGCGAAAGTTTGGAAAACCCTGTTTCGGTTGATGCCTATGACAGCTATGATTCGAAATCTTGGCAAAATGACGAGCTTAGACATTCACAAAGGTAAACCAGAAGCAGACTTTTGGGTGAGCCTTGTAGAAACCAGACTTCGTGATGATGTGCAGTTAGCTAGTGCTCGTATCCATCCGTTGACACTACTGATTGCTATGAACCATTACAAACAGGGCGCACAGAGAAATCATAAAATAGAATGGACTCCTATTCACAGGATCACAGAGGCACTGAAAAATGCTTTCATTAGAAATACAAGAATAATACAACCAAAAGGTAGGAAGTATTTGATGGCTATATCTGTAGGGGAGAATATGCAAAAAAGTATTTGTGGATCTACGATAACAGCTGGGGAAGCAGCAGCAGCCATGGTGTATTCAACCATTCAAACAGAAGATGTAGAAGTGATCCTGTTCACAAACAAAATTGAAGAAGCTTTAACCACCAAAATTAATCGGGGAGAAGACCTACAATCTATTGTGCAGAAGATATATCAAAGACCACCTGAAACTGAATCAAAGTATACAAAGCAGGACTTGTCTGTCGCTTTTAAGTGGGCAGCAGAAGGGAGAAAGAAATTTGATGCAATCATGGTTTTCACTGATTCAATAACAAGTTGTGGATTTATCCACCCAGCAGAAGCTTTAAAACAGTACACACAGTACATGGCAATCCCTGACTACCGATTTGTGGTCGTTGCTATGACCAGCGATAAATACTCTGTTGCTGCTCCGGACAGTGTGCACAACCTCGACGTGGTTGGATTTGATACAATGACACCAGGAATAATCATGGAATTCGTGGAAAATTCTCAACAAAGACACATTGAGAATAGGGACATTATTTTGCATGCTGATGAAGACTTGTTTATTGATATACATTAAGGGGTGACGAGAAGATTTGTCATTTTTATTTGCGGTCGTATATTGGTATCACGTCGTCGTCAGCGTCCTCCGAAGACATTTGGTTTCAGGACAATAACTTTAGTAAATGTAAATAGAAATCTATGAAATTTAAACACAAGGTTTATAACCACAAAAGGAAGGTTGGGATTGATTTTGGGGGTTATAGTCCTAACAGTTGAGGAATTAGGGGCCAAAAAGGGGCCCAAATAAGCATTTTTCTAGTTTTCAGACAATAACTTGTGGAACGGTGTATGGAGCTCTCTGAAATTATACCACAAGTTTCCGTACCACAAAGGGATGGTTAGGATTGGCTTTGGGGGGTTATGGCTCAAACCGTTTAGGAATTAGGGGCAAAAAAGGGGGAAAAACAAGGGTTTCCTGGTTAATGGACAATTAAAAAAAGTACAATGTTATGTTTTGACTACCTCCCTTACACTGCTTTTAATTTATGTATAAAGAAATATTGTATTGTCTTGAGGTGATTAGCTGTCAATTTATTTTTATTAGTTACTTTTTAAAAATGCTGATTAAGGAATATTTAATATATTAATTTTAGCCATGATTATGTATGTCATTTTCTATTTTAAGACTTTTATGATGTATTTAAATGGGTAATTATGGTTGCAAACTCCATTGGAAATTTGAATTGAGATTATGACCATATCTTGAGGGAAAGAATTTTTTTTTTTTGGAAAAAGGGGGGGGGGCAATTTTTTCTTCATTTAGGGTTCAGAATTTTTTTTTTTTTTTTTTTTTTGGGGGGGGTGGGGGGTCAATTGCAACAGCATAGTGTATTGCCCAAAAGCAAATTCAAATCATATAACCAATTCTAATTTTTTTGACTACAGTTATTCTGTGTCAAATATTTAATTACAATCCAAATTCAGACCTGTATCAAGCTCAAATATTGTGTCCATTTTTGCCCCAACTGTTCAGGGTTGGACCTCTGGGGTCGTATCCAGCTGCGCTCAGCGAAGCAATTTATTTAAAAGTGCCATAAATCCCAACTGAACTATTCGGCTTTGAAACCATCAGTTGGGAATTACAGATCTAGAAGTGATATGCAAATGTTTTTTGTTTGTTACATGTATTTGCAACTTATTAATGATCACGAGTAGATTCTAATAACTTAATTAATTATTGTCATTATCCATCTTTATAATTTAATTTTTGGGCAAAAACAGAATTATTTTTAGGGTATCTTTAGATAAAATTAAAGTATAGCTTTTGCCACTTTCTGCATTTTACTAAGGATTTGTATTCCTTATCTGTTGAAAAGGCTTATATGCCATATGTTAATTTAGACTTGCAACATAATATTTGTTGAATAATTCTAGGCATTTTTTTTTAATAACAACTGCAGCAATTGAGACATGTACCTAAAATGTTAGAATATTAAAAATGAAGAAGGGCGACACTTGTCTTCCGTATGAGACTCATATTTATAAGTTAATAACAGAAATAACCCATTTCTAAGTAATTATAAGATCTTTAAAAAGTAAACTGAGTTTGGCCAATGATGTCCATAAATAGACTTTTTATTTTAGTAAGATTTTCCACTTTATAGCTTGACTGTCCAATTTCAGATTTGATGCTCACCATATTCATGAACCATTTTCATAACTGTATTTTTGTCGTCACTTTTGCTTGCATTGTTTGAACGTTTAACTTTTTTTCATAGTTGTGAGGCTATGAATTCAAATTGATGATATAAGGGAAATGGTTGATAAAAATACCTTTCAATCAGTGGTCTCGGAAACTGTCGGTCCTGACACCCTTACATATAAAGTTACATGGTTTGCTACTGACCCCCTAAAAATCCATAGAGGGTTAGTAAAATCCATCGGAAGTGAGACCGTAGGCCAGCCTTATAAGGAATTTATCGCACAGGGGAATTTTTGTGCCAAGTTTTGTATACAATGTTAAAATTAAACAATGAAATTCAATAATGATAATACATTGTAATAGTAGATGTGACACCATGATGCCCCTATGAAATCTACTGACCCTCTACGCCATACAGAACCATTAAGTTTCACCATTTGACGGCCTCAAACCAATCATAGTATCACAAATTTATCCAAGGTGCGATAAAATAGGGTAGGTCCGACAATTTTGACAAGAATATTAAATAAAAAGGTGGTCTTGGTATTCGACTAAATGGTTGTGGTGTTCTCTTTTATGGAATGCCAGTATTTAGTTAAAGCTTGATGAATAACTAATGTAGTAACAACTACATGTATTGTAGGATAATAGCTCACAATCGCATCAATAGTTTATATATAGAATCAGTTGTGTAAATATTAAATGATACAATGATGATCGCAATTGATTACTAGAAGTCCATACTGTTTTGGCAAAATGATAGGGATGTTGTAGATTATTTGATAAATTATGGTCAAAATAATCTGAGCTATAACATGACAGAAAAATAAGATTCAACTTAAAAAAATAAGAAACAGAAACAAATCTATGTGAATCTGATGATTTGAAAAGCGCATGATATAGATCTAGGGGAATCCCTTAAAAATGTACTGTCTTTAAAATAATTTTTTTCAAAATTGTCTTATAGTTAAAACATTTTCCCCAGTTTTTAAACACCCGTCAAAATTTTGACGGGGGGGACGTATTATGGTATACAAATGTCTGGCGTCCATCTGTCTGTCTGTCTGTCCGTCTGTCTGTCCGGTGTCCACATGTTGCACCGTAACTTGAGAACGACTTATCCAAATTTCATGAAACTTTAGTTGTTTCTTATGATGGTCAAACGATCTGTATACTTTTTGGTGAAAATAAGATTAAAACTTTTTGAGTTACAGGACTTTGTAACTAAAACAGGGGGGGGGGGGGGGGGGTTTCACTTTTTGGTGATGATTCAAAATTTTATTTTAGAGTTATTGAGTTTTTTTGTAAAAAAGGGGGGGGGGGGGGTCACATGTCGCACTGTATCTCAAAAACAATTTATGATTATTGCTTAAAACTTTACACACTTCTTAATTATATTAATCTAAAGATCTGTATACTTTTTGGTGATGATTCAAAATTTTATTTTAGAGTTATCAAGTTTTTTGGTAAAAAAGGGGGGGGTTTCACATGTCGCACTGTATCTCAAAAACGATTTATGATTATTGATTAAAACTTTACACACTTCTTAATTATATTAATCTAAAGATCTGTATACTTTTTGGTGATGATTCAAAATTTTATTTTAGAGTTATTGATTTTTTTTATTAAAAAAGGGGGGTTTTCACATGTCACGCCGTATCTCAGAAACGATTTATGGTTATTGCATAAAACCTCACACACAAGACGACGGGCGTATCATGCACTCGTGGCACAGCTGTTTATTTATATATCAAATACTCTAGTTTAAATTTGTACTCAACTGAATGCGTGCTTTTTGAAGAAGAAAAAAAAATTTGATTACCTTTGGTTGAAGAAATTGATTATTTAATAGTCGTCTATTGCTTTAGATGTTTAAACTACCTTAGGTAAGATGTAGACGTTTAATAGTTTAAATTCCATTCAATTCATGAACGTGAACACCTGATAAACAATGATAAAGGCATTATGTGATAGAATAAATAAGTCAATAAAAGAAAACACTGCATGTTTCATCAAAAAAAATATTTAATGTAAATTCTGTTTTGCATAGAAATATAAGAAAACAAAAGAGCTCAGAAAAAAATGGTAAAAAATCCAGAGGTCAACATTGTTTGCTGCAAAACAACAGCTAACAAATTTTTACTGTTACAGTGTACCACTGATTTGTAGTATGTGGTCCTAAAGACGATGAGGCTAGTCGAGGTTTGGAGATCTGTGTTCCTTTTAAATCAATCAGACAAAAATGTATAACCACCAGTGAAGATACATAGTAAATGATTCTGATAGATTGACTCATATTTTTCTCCTCTCTTCTTTGAAACTTGAAGAAAAATTGTAAAGCAGTTCTCATGGAATCTTGTAGAATTCGTTTAATTGAAAAAAATATTATTATTGTTATTCATTGTTATTCAAACATGCATTCATTTATCATGTTTATATTCCTTGTTTATGTTGTTCTTTTGAAGAAGGATGTTATGAGCACAAACTAATCCATAATGCTCAAAACAGATCAGCTTTCCTTTGTATATCAACTTGTATATATATATTATAAAACATTATAATGATTCAAGCAAACATACTGTTAATTATTTATTTTTTTTACATGATAGAGTTTTTTTTTAGCAATTCATGTGCAAGCAAAAATTAATAATTTGCCTAGACTTGTTTTAATTAAACATAAACTTAATACTAAAGTACGCTGACACTACAAATATTTTCAAATACAATCATTCTAATTATTATATAGAATTTTTGATGAAAAATTGTATACAAACATTGTACTAAATATTGCTCTTCAAAAATTTTGTAATGATTATGAAATAAGGGAATGACCATTTTATATTTGAGTGGGAGTTGGTTGAAGGAGGATTTTTCCGAATTGGTCATTAATTTTAATCTGTTGCATGCCTTTTTTTAGCTCACTTGGCCCATAGGGCCATGTAAGCTTTTCCCATCGCTTGGCATCCGGTGTCTGTCTTTGTCGTCCGCTAACTTTTCAAAGATCATCTCCTCTGAAACTACTGTCCAAATTAAACCAAAATTGGCCACAATCATCAATGGGATATCTAGTGTACTGCCTGCTGGAGTTATTGCCATTAAATGACAAATTTTACAATTTTGTTTTTCATTTTTGTCTCGCCTTGACAGAGTCAAAAAGCGAGACATAGGTATGCTGTTTCCGGCGTCTGCGGCTACGGCGGCATCAACAATGTATTAGTTTGTGATTAGGTCTAGTTCATGGTGAACCACTAGTGGTAGATCAATGATATTTGGTCTGCAGTTGTATTAGCATTGAAACATCTCATTACCGTGGAGATTGTTTGGCCCCGCCTTCTCAGTCAAGGTCTATTGACTTCGAAACTTTGCTTAGTTTACATGTATTAGTTTGTGATTAGGTCAGTTTATGGGGAACAACTAGTGGTAGGTCAATGATATTTGGTATGCAGTTGTATTAGCATTGGCACATCTCATTACCATGGAGATTATTTGGCCCCGCCCCCTCCCTCAGTCAAGGTCTATTGACTTTGAAACTTTGCTTAGTTTTCATGTATTAGTTTGTGATTAGGTCAGTTTATGGGGAACCACTAGTGGTAGGTCAATGATAATTGGTATGCAGTTGTATAAGCATTAGCACATCTCATTTCCATGGAGAATATTTGGTACTTACCCCTCAGTCATGGTCTATTGACTTTGAAACTTTTACTTAGTTTACATGTATTAGTTTGTGATTAGGTCAGTTTAAGATGAACCACTAATGCTAAGTCAATGATATTCGGTATGCAAATGTATTGGCATTTGCAAATTTCATTTCCATGGAGATTATGTAACCCCACCCCTAATTATGGTTCATTGACTTTGAAACTTTTACATCGTTTACAAGATAATGTTTGTGTTTAGGTTTGTTTAAAGGGAACGACTTATGAAAAGTCAATGGTATTTGGTTTGCAGTTGTATTAGCATTGGCACATCTCATTTCCATGGAGATTGTTTAGCCCTGTACCTTCAGTCATGGTTCATTGACTTTGAATATTTGCATAACTTACATGTTAAAGTATTGCTATTTTAATTTCAACATTTGCATTATCAAAATAACAAAAAGGCGAGACATATCTCTGTGTTAACAGTTTATTCCCTTTTGTCTTAAAAATTATAATAGATAGAGAGATACTTGATATTGAAAGAATGATCAGCAAGACAAGATCTACATATTAGTCAACATGGTAAAAATCATCAGTCCTTATTGGAGTTATTGCCCTTTAATGAAGATTTTTATCAATTTTTTGTGTTTACGTCTTATATCTGAAAACTATAATAGATAGATAGAAACTTCAATAACAAAAGTAATCAGCAAGACAAGATCTACAAATAAGTGAATACGGTTGAAATCATTTGACGACCCCTTATTGCAGTTATTGCCGATATTAAAGAAACTTAAATAAGCAACAATGATCAGCAAGACATATGATTTGGTAAGATAAGTCTATTGGCAGTAATAAGCAGTTCACTCCTTATTGGAATTATTGTTCTTTAATGGCGATGTTTACCAATTTTTATTGTTTTGCTGATTATCTTGAAAGCTATTATAGATAGATGATAACCACTTAATATAGCAAAATTGATTAACAAGACAAGAGATTTTTGTCCTGAATTCTATTATAGTCTACAATGTTGGAGAGTGTCCATTGTGAAAGATGCACATAGACCCAGGTGAGCGACACAGCCTCTTTAGAGTCTCTAGTTTTTTTCCCACAGCTCTGCTTTGCCAAAATTTTTTTTAACTTTTGTACACATATGTATACTCAACTATTCTGCATTTAATGTTGCAGAATACAGAGTATTCATTTTTATCCTGTTTTGTGCAAATTCATTTATTTTCAGTTCTTTCAAGGCCAAATTAATCATTTTCAATATCATCCTGCGCCCACCCCCTTGTATCAACTATCCTGCGTTTTATGTTGCAGAATATTAATTTTTATCCTGTCTTGTGCAAAGTCATTTATATGAAGTTCTTACCAGACCAAATTATTCATTTTTAAAATCAAATTGTCGTCCCCTGAAAAGAAGAATATATATTTGTAACTATCAAATCAATATACCCAGATACATATTTACTTTTTACTTAATAAAAACTTAAAATGATAACACTACTTTCAAATTGTTGAAATGGCTGTATTTTTCAGATGATGCAATAAAAGATTATGAATTGTTAAAAGAAAGTTGCTTTTGTTAAGGGTTTGTGTTTTGGATCATTTCTAATTAAAATTTGTTCCAATTATAAGAATTTTTTAATGTCTATCTAATTAAAGTTTTGAAAAATTCAAATGGGTTTTCATTCACATCGTTCATGTCTTGTCACAATCGTTTCCTCTTTTAATGATTATAGCATCACTGACTGGAACCTACCACCATATTCTACATGTTACTTGAAATGTTTAACATGATGGGTAACACCAGTGGAAGTAAAATGACTACCCTTCCAGAGTATCCGTGACCCTTCCTTAGTACTGGAATTCACCCATTTCAGTGGGATTCGTATTGCTCAATGTTTTGTTTTCTGTATTGTATTGTCTTGTCGTCGCTTGTGTACCAATTCATTTTTTCAGGCACTGGACATATACGGGACATTGATGACTAGGAGGAATGCAAGACACACCTCGTAGCACATCTAAAATCTTCCTGTAATTATATAAAGCCTGATTTTACCTGCACCTGTAAATATGCTTTAAAGTGCACCACTTCATATACATACTAGTACTTGTGCAAGGGGTCAACTACCTTTAACGTCGAAGTATGTGTATTCTTCCTTTCCCAGTATGTCAACAATGTTTTTTTTTCAAATTCTTTTACCAGTTTTGTTATAATTTGCATTTAGGAGGCGTACTGGACATTATCATACAAAAAATAAGATATGGCATGATTGCCAATAAGTCAACTCTCCACCAAAGACCGAATGACATAGAAATAAGCAACTCAATAGGTCACTGTATGGCCTTCTAACAATGAGCATAACGGACTTATTTATGTACAAAACAATATATAAACGAAAAACAAAACAAAGGCGCGGTCGTCTGACAGATTTGTAAAACTTGTCAAGTTTTATTAAACTTGATTCATATTGGTCCGGTAAGGGCTAGTTTTGGCCTAATATTCGAAGTACATCTAATGAAAGATTTTTGACATTTTTTTTATACACTTATGTGTCTACTACAGTCGATTCAATTAGTTTATGTTAAAGATTTGGACTGATTTGGTCATTAAAGACGCTCAAATTCAAGCTTAAATATGAAAAATCTTATCAAATATGCCATAAAACGTCACTTTTCAGATGTTTTTTGTCTAAAATGTAAGTGGCCGCATTCGTGTTCAGTCTCAACTTTTATATATGTTATGTATTATCATCAAATACAACATATATTTAAATATTATGACTGAACACAAATGCGGCCACTTCCATTTTAGACAAAAACCGTCTTAAAATGAGCACAAATTAATGCTAAAATTGTGAAGATTTCAGTAATATAACATGAATTTATGATGCTATTACCTGATGCATGTGCATTGTATTGTCAGAAACAGCCCATATCTATGTAACAGAAGTATTCTACTTTCCAATAAATAGCTAAAAGTTTACATTTTAACAAATTTGTAAAAATGTTATATTTTGGGGCCAAAAAGTGGTCTTACCGGGTCTACTCCTTCAACGGCGAACAAGTGATAAGAAAAGTTCACTTGGCCCTCTGGTCCAGGTGGGTTTAAAGGGTGCAGGAATCACCGACAATACCACACAGTACAACACACCACATCAACCACCAACACCCGACTCGTGAAAAATGCCAATCAACAGGCATACAAACAAAGACACATAATAAAGAACAACACAATGTCTAGATAACCTGACTTGGTACAGGCTAACTTGGTACAAGCCGACACAATGTGGTAGGATTTAAGCAGGTAAACGTTGCAGATAAGATGTCTAATACGCGATAGAGACTTAGATTAACTATGACGTGCCAAAGGATTCAAGTTATTGAACAGGACATCAATATTGCTAGATTTTTATGTTTACTTTCTTTCTGTTTGGTTTATAGTCTTCCTATTCCCATTAAGCTTTCAATGTCACGTGTACAAGTTCTGCTCAATGCGTCTGTCCGATAAAGTAGGCGGTGCTGTCTACTTTGATACGATTAAAGTATGTATTCTGGATTATCTTTTATATTTTCCTCCATCATTTTACTGAAGTTATCCGATTGATTTAATTGTATCCCGCCCGCGTTGCGGGGACATGGAAATACCGGGCGTCCGTCCGTCCGCTCTTGTTAGCGCTCTTCAGTGAAAGAACATCACCTATATAGCATAAGTCTATTGAATAATGATAGCTTCTTATCCCTCTTCTTGAGAAGCTCTTGTATAAAATCTGCTAAATACAATATTTTTTGAAAGAGTTATGCCCATTGGAAACATTAATTTTATGGAAAATTGTATCGTTAGCGCTGTGTATATATGTCTCTGGTTTATATTAGCAATGTCTTGGACGAGTTCAAAAATCAGTGCCAATCAATAATTTTTAAAAGAGTTATGCCCCTTCGAAACATTTATTATATGGAAAATTGCATCGATAGCGCTCTCATTTGTACAATATTCTTGCCAGATTTTTATGAAACTTATATCAAAGGTTTATATTAGCAATGTCTTGGACGAGTTCGAAAATCAGTGGCAATCAATAATTTTTAAAAGCCCATTGGAAACATTCATTTTATGGACAATTTCATCGATAACGCTCTCATATGTACAATTCTTGCCAGAATTTTATGAAACCTAAATCATTAGCTGTGTCTCGGATGAATTAAAAAATAAGTGCCGATTAATATTTTTTTTTAAAGTTATGACCCTTGGAAATATAAATTATATGGAAAATTGCCTAATGAGCTACAATTCTTGCCAGATTTTTATGAAATTTATATTATAGGTTTATATCATCAATGTTCTCGAAGAATTCAAAAATCAGTGCCGATCAATTAATTTTAAAAGAGTGATGCCCTTTGAAAATATTGATTATATGGAAAATTGCAATGTTATCGCTCTCATGTGTTCAATATTCTTGCCAGATTTTTATGAAACTTATATCAAAGGTTTATATCAGCAATGTCTGACACTTTCGAAAATAAGTTCTGATCAAATGTTTTTAAAGAGTTATGCCCCTTGGAAATATTAATTGTAATGGAAATCGCATTGCATTTGCTCTGAAGTCTTCATTTCTCTTAAGATATTAATAAAAAGTTTTAAAGAACAAAACAAAAGTGCTTTTTTTTAGTTATTGCCCTAGCTTGTACCTTGGATAGATAAAATATATGCAACGCGGGGGACATTGGAACTCTGTTCTTTTATTCTATTTTTGAAACCCATACTACAAATCCACTGAGGTAAACATCATCCATCTACAGAAAAGGGACCTACTTAGTTGCTTGTGGCATTTTTTTACGTCATCTGGTGTCATTACATAAGAGAGGCGAAAGATACCAAAGGGGTCAAATGATTAAAACTCATAAGTCGGAAGCAAACTGGCATTGCCATGGAAAAAACTAAAAACGACGAAAAGACAAACAACAGTACTCTAAACGCAACATAGAAAACTTAAGACTGAGCAACAGTATCCAACGAAAACCGGGGGTGGCAAGCAGATCCTGATCCAAATATGGCAAATGTCGTATTGCTCATGCAAGTGCAAACCCGGTGATAAGTCTAACTCGGTATATCACATGCAAGGAAAAGAGGACAGGATTGTAGTTTAGACAATTGGAACATATCCGTCTTAATCTGTGAAACATATATTCCATAACGATCAACCAACTCGTGATGTCGTCCGTAAATTTTTGTCATTTGTACATTCAAACACTCGAGCACAACGCTATAGTGACAGTTGCAAACAATACGCATCCGTTTTCCATTCCACTGGCACACACTCTCAAATACAACGCTATATTTTCATCTGCAACCAACACATACGCTTTGTTATTTCCATTGATACACACTCGCAAATACAACGCTTTATTTTCAGTTACAACCAACAGGCAACCTTTGTCCATTCCATTTGTACACATTCTCGAAAACAAAGCTTTATTGTCCGTTGCAACCAACATACAATATTTGTCCATTCCATTGGTACACACTCTCTCACTCACAACGCTGTACGGTCATTTGCAACCAACATGCACCATTTGTCCATTCTATTTGTACACACTCTCGAAAACAAAGCTTTATTGTCCGTTGCAAATTGCAACCAACAAACAATATTTGTCCATTCCATTGGTTCACACTCTGTCACACACAACGCTATATTATCATTTGCAATCAGCACGCAATCTTTGTTCGTTTCATTGGTTTACACTCTCAAACACATCGCTTTATTGACAGTTGCAACCAGCACACACCATTTGGCTTTATAGTGGAGATATATGTCTCATCATAACAATTCAGGGAATATTACATGTCAACGTTATGAGGAAACACAATGATAATGAAGGTGTTTTTAACCACAACTCAGCACCACCTGACAGATTGTTTTATATAATAAAAGAGTAAGTACATGTTATTGTACATAGAAGTATCAAATCAACTGTAATTGGTTTTATTTTGCGTTTTAACTTATAAAAATAGAAGGAGTATAAATACATGACATAGGGGTTTATTGGATTAAAGTCTTTTTGTTTGATTGTTTCTAGATCTCGCTTTAAAAGTTTGACATAGACATAATTGACGGACCATTTAATCCTCTAATTGCATTTAAATTTGTTACCTTTCAGTAAAGAAATGTTTCAATCAAAAACCATCGCACTTAATTTCAAAGTAACTGTCTTCCATTGAACATGGATTTTAAGAATTAGGTGAAACACATAATAACTTAGTTCAACTCAGGTCTTGATATTGTATTACTGAAAGGTGTTTTCTTCTATCTTGAAATAGATATTGTGTATTCATGTCTTTGATTCACCACTCAGTTGTATCATGGATCAAAGTGATCGAATGGGTAATTTTGAAAAGAATGTTGTGATTTCTGAGTCACCCAGGACGTTGTGAAATTTAAAGCATAGTCCGTCGACGCACAGGTTTCTGTCCAGTTATCCGAGAGATAGATTTGCAAGAAAAGATCGTATTTCTATTCATAAGGATACTATCTGTAAGTTCAGGAAAGGGCACAGATCATCCTCTTTGGATACAAATAGAATTGTGTTGGAAATTTGAAAAAAAATGTAAGTCGTGCTTTTCAACAGCCAACATTGTGAAAATTCCATTTAAAGTTGTTACATATAAAGTGGGCGGAAATT